ATTACACTTCTTAATGTCACAATGAATTAGCAATAAAGAAGGTTGCAACAGAAATAACTTGCTGAAATGCCTAGCCAGCATAGGAAAATAAAGCATTTTATTCCAATTAGCTTAATTCCTGATAATGACACAGATGTAGCGATAAAACTCTCTGTATAATGGGCTCCAGCCCTGGGAAAGTTTAGGAATTGTGCTTTGTGTATGGAACGAGGCAAGAAAAGGGAGGGAAGCCTGAACCTCAGAGTAAACTGCCCTCAGCAGGCAAAAGAAAGAAGGAAACAACAGGGAGACAAGGCGAAGGAGGCACGGTAGGAAGGTGATAACCACAGATAAAATCTCTGGGTCCCACCGCTGCACAGAGCACAGGCACTAACCTGGCATTTGCTTTTTTTTTCTTTTAACCTCCTAAAACAAGCCCCAACCATTCGAGCCCCGAAGCCTTCCAGCTCTTAGAAACCCGCGTTTAAACGCTTTTGCACATTAAACCTCCAGTGCAGCACTTTCCCTCCTTCATCAGCACTTATCTACGCTTCTGCTCTTCCCTGCTGAGCAGGAACAATCACAGCCACACAGGAATAAATGGTAATTTCCTCCTTTATTTTTTGTTGAGAAACCTGACTGCTCTGACCTAACTCCCACCCCCCTGAGCCCTGGACCTTAATCATCCCCCAAGTCCTAACACCCAACACCAGTCCCTGCATTACTGCCTGACACACGCTCACCACAACTCCCCCCCCCCCAACTGCTAGCAATGCTTCTTCTGCACCCCATTCCCTCCCAGTGCCTCCTTCATCTGCTTCTTCCTTTCCTCCACGTTCACTGAGGGTCTGAGCAATTGCCCCGATCCACTTGGGCTTCAGGCAGAAGAGAGGAAAATAACCCTTGTCATATTTTCAAAGAAAAGAACTTTAGGCAAGGTTGGTTTACCTGAAGTTTTACACAATAAAATACAGCAGGCAAAGGGCCAAGGAGAAGCTCCAAGGGCTGGAGCCCCTCTGCTGAGAGAGGTGGGGGGGTTCAGCCTGGAGAAGAGAGCTCAGAGCCCCTTCCAGTGCCTAAAGGGGCTCCAGGAGAGCTGGGGGGGGACTCTGGATCAGGGAGGGGAGCCGTGGGACGAGGGGGAACGCTTTGACACTGACAGAGGGGAGGTTGAGGTGAGATTTGGGGAAGAAACTGTTGCCGGTGCGGGTGGTGATCCCCTGGGGCAGGTTGCCCCGAGAAGCTGTGGCTGCCCCATCCCTGGAGGCGTTCAAGGCCAGGTTGGACAGGGCTTGGAGCAACCTGGGCTGGGGGGAGGTGGCCCTGCCCAGGGCAGGGGGCGGAACGAGATGGGCTTCAAGGTCCCTTCGAACTGTAACCATTCTATGAAATTTAAGCATGACCTAAGCTGTAGATCTTCAGCAATAACAATGGTGGTAATAACAGCTACTAAATTACTTTAAAGCACTTGCTTAACACTTAGATTTTCCACACCTTTCTTTTTTTCTACACTTATAACATGCCTTTTGCTCTAAATAACCATGCCAAAGTGGAGGGGAAAGCCAGGCAGCAAGTGGGCTGATGCTCCTTGTGCTACCTGTGCTGCTTGCAGGAGCGCGTGTCCTGCCTGCCCTGCCCACTCCTCTCCTTCTTTCCAGGGAGATGCTGCTTTGAGCCAGGTGTCATCTCCAGCTTCACCCAGCCCTGGTGCACATCACTCCTCCAAACCCACCCCAGCTGTGCCTTCCACAGCCTGGGCAACCACAGCTGCCCCTCGTGTGAATGCACAGACCAGCCTGCTTATGGTATCTTACAGAAAGAAAGGTGGACTGGACAGATGTGGTTAAAAATAGGCCATCAAAATGCTTAAAGGAAGCAACCAGAGAGCGTTTCACCAGCAGCCTAGGCCTGAACACATACTCTGCCTATCCAGACAAGCTGGTTTGCCCAGTGCCCCAACACATTTTATACAGGTGAGCTCAGAAAACAGAGCTCCTTCAGCAAATACACCTCAAAGACTTGTGAATATTAGTGGAGTGAGTTTGCCAAGTAAACAAAGCACTGCAGACTTGTTCCCTCTGCTGCCACACCGTGCACCTTACCTCCGTGTCTCCATGATAAATCCACCAGCGTGCGTTTTGGCTGCTTCGAACACGAACTCCCATAGTATTTCTTCTTCTCTCAAGTGCAGGTAGCATCACAGGGAGGTCAATCATGCTAAAGCAAGATGCTGCCCCAAAATTTGAGCTGTGGTGCTAACACACACTCTACAACACCAGCACATCTTGGAGGTCTCAGGGTGCTCAGGAATCTCTAAGCACACCAGGCACAGCCTTGGAGACTGCTAGCCCCTTTTGATATTGGGTGAAAACAGAGAAATTTGAGCTCAAGCTTTATCTCAGCCAAAGGCATCATGAACAAATCGTATTAAGCAATTTGGCTCCACCGGAAGAGCAGTTTTCAGGGTAAAGAGCAACACAAATGCTGGTTTGCTGCTGTAGAGAAGCTCCCAGGAAGATCAGTTTCTTTCCAGAGAGCAACCCCTCCCAGCCCCATCCCAAACCTCTTCAACACCCCCCACCCCAGCATCATTGCAAACCAGAAGCACCTGCCCTTGGCTCCATGGATTCAACCTGATTTATTGCAAGCTCTGCTAAAAGTGATGTTTTTCTCTTTTCTGTTCTGCAGCGCTTTGAACTTCTTCACGTGTCATTTGACCCTCTAACCTTTCCTGCTTCATAAAGCATGTATGAAATCCCACACAATGTAAACCTCTTATTGTCTACAGTTTTCTAGAAGATGAGAAACCGCCCTGCTCAGGGTCCAGGTGGTTTGACTAGAAATAACTTCAGCAATAACACCCTAAACACTTTTGCCTCTGCAAGGTGCCCCAGTAAGTGCCCCCCACCCTCACTGCAGCTTAATGAGAAGGTTAGCAGCAAACGTGTTAGAGGAAAGCAGCATGTTCCCATGCAGACGCAATAGAAGGGTTGATGGATTGATAGACAGAAAGAAAAGGAAGCTCATAGCTCCTCCCTGGGCACTGCCCGCTCAGGCTGACAGAAGAGCTGCTTGGTCACATCTGGGATTAAAACTACAATATACAAGAAACCTCTCATCTTAAAGAAAGGGCACGGTTTTGGACAGAATCAGCCAGAGAAAAAGAAGCCCTGAGCTCAAGTAGGCCTCAGCACACAACCAAAGACCAGCACAGCCCCCCTGACCCTCCAGCCTCCCCTATTTATCCCCTCCAGTCCTTCCCTGCACACCTGAAAGGATTTCACACAAAGTCAGACACATTAACTTTCCCCCTGCCATGCACAGAGCAAGACAAGGCATTTTCCTGAAAGTGCTTTTTTTCAAATACAGAAGTGGGTGTGTTTTATTTTCTCTGCCCAAAACACCTTGTACTTTAAAAGTTATGTGGAGTTTGATACCGTTTTTTTTTCCCCTGTCTTTTTTATTAGCCACATATTTACTAAGAAAAGGACTTTAAAAAATAGGAAGCGAGGACACCTAAAAGTCTCACTCAAAGTGCCTAGGGAACAACTTTCATATCACACTGCGTTTGGAGCACTGGGGGGCGGGGGGGCAATGAGACAGCGTAGGGAGATACAGAATTGATTTTCCTGCGCAAACAGTAATAACTGTGTTTAGGCCTGTGGGGCTCCCAGTTAACCCACTGGTGGCCTCACCCACGGGACTGCAGCAGGGACTGGTGCTGGAGACAGCAGGAGGGGTCGCGGTCCCTTCCTTGCCCTGTGCCTCAGATTCCCCTTCTGGTAAATGGGCGATTGCAGCCCACCATGCCCACAGCCCCCAGCTGCTCACTGGCTCTGGGACACGCCATGTCACCCCTCCGTCCTGCTCCAAGTGCCACTTGGTGGCACTGTTTGAAAAGATTTCTTTGCTCCATGCCTACCTCCCCATCGGGATCTGGAAGAGGGAGTTTCTGGAAGGAATCACGTTCATCTTGGCATCACAATATCCTCATTTTTCTTCCTTTGTTTTCTTTTCTCTTTATTCACCATGCAGGCACTCCCGGGCGGTCTCCTCCCCTGCCTGTCAGTCACGGGGGATCTCCTTCTCACAAAACACCTTTGCCAAACACAAGAGTCCCGGGCGTTGCTCAGGCATCACCTTAAACTAAATCCTCCAGTGGTAAAAATAGCCTTTTCTGTTAAATTCCTCTGAAGTGTGTCTGCAGGTGGGGCAAGCTTAGGAAGGATCATGTGTTAACTCCAGAGAAAAGCATCAGAGCAGAAGTTAATGAGAAAGAGACAAATGAAGACAGGGGCATGACAATGTAATTGGGTGAAAGATGTTTCAGGTCGCCCTGCTGAAGGGGTGTCTCCTCTGGAAGATGCAGGCTGTGATCCTGAACTGTATATAAGACGGCCGAGAGCTGATCTGCTCCAGACTACGCTCCCGAAGATCAGCGCTCCTGCTACTCACCCAGGTAAGCCTGGACAAACTTTATTACACTGTCTGTCTTTGCTACCAGCAGGAAAGCAGGAGCTTCTGGCCATGAGGATGTCCCTGGGGCTGCCACTGCTGAGCTCTTCTAAAGGAAAAAAAAAAAAAAAAAGAAAAAAAAAAAGAAGATAGTAAACAAAATCTGGAATTACAGTATTCCATGGTTCAGTAGAGATGACCTCCATTCACTGCTCTGCTCTGCTCCAGAGAAAAGCCAAATAGGATTTTGTTTCTCTCCTCCCTCGTCGTGTGCCCCCAGCCTGTCAGCTCTCGCTGTCCCTCACCTCTCCACCCATCACCTGCTGGACCTCACACCACGCCGTCTTTGCAGCTGAGTTCCATTTTTCAGATGCGTTTTCCTGTGAGATCCTTCTTGCTCTCTGTTTCCCTTCCCTTATGCTCTTTCATTTTATCTATGCCCTTCTCTGGCTCTCTGCCTGTCCAGCTGTGTTGTTTAAGAGTAACTTATCTGAAAACCAAGCAAATATTAAGAAGCCCCTTTCTCTCTGTGTTTTTCTCGCAGGCTGCCTCAATTTTGCCAGGAGATGGCCCAGCCCCAGGAAAATGCCAGTGACATCGGTGCTGTTTTCTACGTTTGCGCCAGAAGCGACGGCGACTGCAGCCCCCTGAGAAGGGAGGAGCTGAGGCAGCTCATGGAGCAGGAGTTTGCAGATGCGATGGAGGTGAGGATCTGGCCCCACAGCTGGTGCCAGCGCCACCTTCGGGCTACAGGGCTGGGATCGGTACAGCCATGTGCTCCCAGTGCGGATGTACAGGATACCTGGCTCCCTGGGAAAGGCACAGATGCCTTCAAAGCCCAGGATCTGCAGGGAAGAGAAGTTGGTTGTTCTTCCAGTGCCAGCAGCTTGTAGAGCTCAGTGTGGGGAGCAACCCGTGGGGCTGGATTTCTGCCCCGAGACTGCTCGAGTGCTCCTAGAGAGGCAGCACAAATGGCTCATGGGCTTTGCCAACACCATTTGTCTCTTTACAGAACCCGCAGGACCCCAAAACTGTGAAGAAGTTGCTGCGCTTCCTGGATGATGACAGCAACCACAGGCTTGACTTCAGTGAATTGCTCAGCCTGGTTTTCCGCACAGCCAAGGCTTGTTACAAGCCGCTCCAGCAGGGACTGGCACCAGAAGATGGTCAAGAGCCAAGAGAGCAAGAGGAGGCAGGCGGGGAGCAGCCACCGGGGCCACGCACAGTGGGGAGGGTCTCCTGCAACCAGCAGGACCCCGAGCAGGGTGTGAACAGTCAGGACCAGGACACTGAGACACAGGACCCAGATAACCCTCAAACCCAGGAGGGTGAGACACAGGAGAAGGACCAGGACAACCGTCAAACCCAGGAGGGTGAGACACAGGAGAAGGACCAGGACAACCGTCAAACCCAGGAGGGTGAGACACCAGAGCAGGACCAGGACAACCATCAAACACAGGAGGGTAAGACACAGGAGAAGGACCAGGACAACCGTCAAACCCAGGAGGGTGAGACACCAAAGCAGGACCAGGACAACCGTCAAACCCGGGAGGGTGAGACACCAAAGCAGGACCAGGACAACCATCAAACCCAGGAGGGTGAGACACCAGAGCAGAACGAGGATGACCGTCAAACCCAGGAGGGTGAGGCAAAGGAGCAGGACCAGGATGAGGATGGCAGGGCTGAAGAACCAGAAGGGAATCCAGAGAGAGGTGAGATTCTGGGCACAGTAACCCCAGGGCAGGCCAGAAATACTCATAAGGCTGAAGAGACTGAGGCACTAACACAGGACCCAAAAACCCGCCAGGCCAAAGAAACTGAGGCACAAGGACAGGGTTCAAACCACCATCAAAGTCCAGAGAAAGAGTCAGCAGAGCAGGACCTTAATTGTCTCTCTGAGACACGAGGAAGAGACCCAAACAACAAGACCCAGGACTGCAAGGCCCCTCAGCAGGGCCCCAACCCTGGCAAGACCCAGAAGCTGCTGCCCCTACAGCGGGGTGCAAGCCCCCATCGGGATCCCAAGCCCCAGGGAACGCACCGTGATACGGATTTCCATCGGCTCCCCGAATCCAAGGTGCTGGAGCAGGAGCACAATGGGGCAGAGGCTCCGTCTTGTCCAGCACAACAGCCACAAGATGTTCATCAACACATACAACCCCCTATAGAGCAACAGGTCCTGCAGTCTCTGTATCAGTGGCCACCACAGCAGTAAAGGCAAGTCTAAGTGATGCTGTTGCCCCCTGCAAGGAGGTACTTTTTGTCCAGTACCACTCTGGTTTTTGCATTTGTCATCTCTTGTCCAATTCCTTATTAACCCTGGGCTTCTCTCCCCTGGTTTGTACCGAGCTATGCATGACTCGAGACCTTCCCTCTTACCCTGTCTTAGGCTGTCTCTGCCTGTGTAACCAAAGCAAATAAAACTGAAGACAAAACAGCACAGTGTCCCGGTGTGTTGCTGCAAGCATGGCCTCAGCCTGGCTCGGAGCAGACAGCCAGGTTGACATGATGTGGCGCAGAGGACCCGAGTGCCTGTCCCTTGCATGACACGTCCAGATTGCTCCGGGGTGCAGGTGGAGGGATGGCTGCAGAGAGGCATATGTGTCTTGGGGGTGGATAGCCTAAAGGAGCTGCTGCTCTGCCACCTTTGCAATTTAGCCGAGGTGAATCAATTGCTCCCCGCGGGCAGGGATGTGACATCCTGGAGAGAGATGTCTTCAGAGGGGGAAGAAGTCTGGATTTAACACAACAGCATGGCCGACCTGAACAGATCCCTCACAGCATTCGTCTGCTCTGGTCATTTTTCATGTCTGCTGTGAAAAGAATAAACAGCTGCTTAACATGGAATGGGAGGGATTTGTCCTATTTAACTTCACTTATTAATAATCTCAGAAGCAAGGGGAACATGGAGCATGCTATGAAGATCAAAAATCCCTATTAGCTATGGAAGTCTCCAAAGGAAGGAGTGGAGATACAGTAAACACAGGGGAAAAAAATTATTTGGTCACGTCCAGTCCCGGCAACAACTGGGAGGCCAGAGAGAAAGAGCTGACACGCAAACCGCGCACAAGCGGAGACGATCTCAAACTCGGCTCCGGTGGTTTGGGGTACCATGTCCTCAGGCACTTGTCCAGACATGCACATAGGGATGTGGGTAACTCTGAGGGCATGAGCAGTCCGGTGAAGTCAGTGGGGTTTATTAGGGGGTTCAGACGTGCTGGACCACCAGTCAGGTCCAGGACTCAGCATCCCGCAGGGAGGGTGATGCTCAGCCTGTTTTTCACCATGCTATCTTTCACTTGCCACCTATCAGCAGAATCAGCACACGATAAATGCGCCCACACCTCCTGCTTTGTGGCCAGTGACAAGCAGCACGCAGAGACCTCACTGGAAAATAAAACGTCATTCCTCTGGGACACCCCAGAATTTCACAATTTGCTAAGCGCTGAATCAGAAAAAAACAGCATTTCAAAACTATCCCCAGAACGTATATCACAAAAATGATCTGGTTTAAATGTGCTAATGTCAAAATTAAACGTATTAGACACAAAGTACACCTGTCTGCTCTACTACTGATAAAACATGTGAGCAAAACCAAGTTCTGACCTACCTCATGACAGCTCTGGACATGCAATGGGAGAGTCAAGACTGAAATTTCATCACCTATCTGTCAAAATCCTAATCCACCTGAGACATTCCTCAAAACACTGCATTTTTCCAGAGAACTCTATTTTTCTTGTAAAATAGATCTCAGAGGTTTGACCAATGGCTCTTTGCTTCTTATTAGCTTTTATTAGCTTATTTGCTTCTTATTAGACTGAGGGTCTAAAATCACCAGACTCAGCCATTCCCCTGTAGTCTGTCTGTCCATCAACTGCCACCTTTTCCAGCATCAGTAAAAAACTGATCTCCCAGTTCAGGCAGGCACCAACCCCTGTTAGGGCCATGTTAATTATATACTGTATTCTGAATAACACTACTTTTGCCATCAGGAGTGTCATATTTGAAGTTAAGAGAGTTTTTTTGATTCATTTTAAGGAGAACATGAAAATTATCCCACTGACACAGATACCTGTCTGAGTCCTGCAAACTTGTGTGGTGTTGGAAGAAAAAAGGTCTTTTATACACCTCACTCTTTTGTACACCCAGTTCCTCTAAGATTAAATGAAACAGAAGATTGGTTACCCTGTATAAATGTAGACAGGGGTGGGTGCAGAATCGGGTAAGAACCAGGAGGACAGAGTCCACCCCCTTCGGTTTTTCAAAACCTACCCCAAGTTCCACCTTATGAAAACATCTTTGGGGAAAACTGAGCCCTTGGAGAAAAGGGGGTTTCCGTGCTTTGAAATGGGTTGCTTTGAACGGCAGCAAAGCATGGGGAAGCAGGTGAGCACGGCCAAAACACGATGTACCTTTTCCTGCATCGATACCCAAACTCTGCCCGGCACCTCACATGGCTCCCGACCTTCCCGCACTGCCCCAGCCCCTGCGGGGGGATTACTGACTGTTACAGGACACCAAGCCGCACTGTAATACTCTAATTTTAATAATAACTCCAATCTACCATAAAATTACAGTTTCCCAAGGGTATCATTATCCCACAGGTGGGGTATAATTTGCACAAGTATAATTTAATCTTGAAAAAAAGCTCAAAAATGAAGTATGGTTAGTAACAATCCTTCGTACGCACTTGTATGAGTATCCCCAAGGTGTTACCAGCACTAATTAATTAGGCTCCTACACCCAGTGTGATCTTTCCTGACAGATGGGCCAGATGAGCCACTCACCCAAGGCTGCGTGACAAGTTCATGCTCTGAAGGCTCTCTGCAATGTCTCCGTCATGCGTGTCAAGGCAGCATCCTTCCTCCAAAACCAAAAGCAGGGGACCAGGTGGCACGGCTGGTATCTCCCTTACTTGCTCTGTGTAGTGGGAAAGCTTGGGGTGAATAAAGAAATCAGTTGGTCTGTTAATTTACTTTTAAAAGATTTTAAAAAAAAAAAAAAAAAAAAAAGAAAGAAAGAAGGTTGTAGAGGTAATTACAGCAAAAGCTGCCTAGGGCAACCAGATGAAGATTCAACGTGAATCGACCTCTCAGCAGAGAGGTTTCTGCTTTTATTTTTAATTAAAGATCAAGCAAAGTGGAAATGAAAGTTGCTCATGGAAGACAGTTAATATCAAAAATGTATTATCAATACTGTTCTCAATGAAAAGCCATTGCTTATTGAACAGACGTTTTCTCATATGAAAATGCATTTTGCAGACTTTACCATTTTGAAATGTTCTGTTTGTGCTTGGTTTTTTTCCAACAAAAACTTGGATAATATAACAAAAAGGCTCCTTTAACAAGAAGTTACTAAAAATAAAGCACGTTTTGCAGCACACTCTACAAGGACGCCACGCAAGCCGAAATCTGGAGGATTTGGGGATCTCACTGCAGTGCACCAGCATTTCACCATTCTCACAGCGCTTAGGTCTTCTTCTGTCCTTCTATAAGCGAAAGCCAGACCCAAACCCCATTGACCTCAGGCCCAAGGTGCTGAAGGAACAGCACAAGAAAGCAAACAAAAATAATCTCTGGTATTGTGGTACCAAGATCATGGGCCATACAGATCTCGACTCTCCCTGATCTGCTCATAGTTTGTTCTGCCACCATCAGCGCTTCTGTCCCCATCCTCAAAATTTCATTCTGCTACTATTTTTATGGGTGCATGTGTGTATTATACATCTATAAATTCATACCTATGGAAACGCACATTTGTATAAAAATACACCTTCCCATTAAGACATATCTACACTTTATAGCTACTCTAGATTTTTTAAAATCTGAAACACAATCAGCCTGTAAAATAACTTTACAGTCTGGATTAGGTGGAACCAGCCAGTGCCTGAATTGCCACATGGCAGCTGCTATTTCTGGGTTAAAATGATAGGTAAGGGGATGATAAGTTAAATAACCCGTTTGAGGACGTGAAGGTGCAGCTGGGCTTGGCCAAAGATGAATCAGGACAACGTCCACAAAGGGTGTCTCCTTTCTGTAGCTCTGTCAAGGACCCTATAAAAGCACTCGGGTCCTCCGATCACTCCGCACGGCTTCACAGGAATCCCACTTGATCCTTGATTGGTGATTTGGGTAAGTCACTCCTTCTGAAACATGCACTTTGCCGGGTAAGGACGTGTTATTTCTATAATATTCATGTCGGGTGGAAGCATCATTCCTGCCGCAGTATTTTCTGTCTTTTGCACTTATATCCCGTGAAGCATTGGCTTGTGTTATACGGACACCTGCGTGCTGTCGTTATGTGTCCATGTGTAGAGGCAGCTTTTCTCAAGGGGAAAACAAGGGAGAGAGCCAGGTTTTGTGCCTTACTTTGGTCTGGAGTCAGGCCCCAGCCAGAATTAACAGATTGGAGAAATTTTCTGGTTTCTACAGAAATACCAAAAAAACAGGTTTTCACATGCAGAGGTTCACACATGTGTTCATGTGTATGTGCACATTACAGAGGCGGCAAGGCAGACATGGCACAGCTTCCCCAGCTGCCAGCTGAGACCTCAGCACTGATGTGCCTGATAACAGGTTTGGGGATCCTGTGAGGAGGAAGGAAGGAGGTGGCTTCCGAGGTTTCCAGACACAAAGCTCCAACAAAGAGCACTGCTTTCTGCCAAGCAGATCTCAGTGAAATTAAATAAGTAGCTCAGACCTAGATGATCTGACAGTTCCCCAGTGGCCAAAATCTATTTGCCAATGAACTGATGCTGTGAAGAAAGTTTTATCAATTGGTTTGGATGACTACAGGTCACAGAAGCATCAGCCACAGGGCTTGTTTTAACTCCCTGTAAGCACTCTACCTGTCTCTGACCCAGCTAGATGTTGTCTCAGGCCATGCCAGCACTGCATTAGACATCCTCTAACCTGCTCCAGAGAAGCCAGAGTATCTCAGTTGCAGGCAGAGATAGCAGATGGAAACATAAGTACCCATGTACTACCGTATGGGGTAGAGCCCCATGGGGACGGGTCCTTGGGGCATCTCTTGAGTCACCATCCCCAGTCCCCTCCCTGAGATCCATAAATGCAGGCATCCTGCCATCCACTATCAAACGTCATTCCAATACGTCAGTAGACAAGTTGGAGGACACTCCCCATCCCACTAAAACCCCTAAGCATTTAAATTTCTTCTTTGAAGTTCTCCCTCCTCCTTTTGTGCTCATAGGTAAGCAAATCTCCCAGCCTTAGGTCTGTTCCTTTTCTTGCAGGCTTGCTTGAATCTGCAGGAAGATGTCTCACTTCTTAGACAGCATTTCCACCATCATCAGTGTCTTTCACCAACATGCAAAGGAAGATGGAGACTGCTCCAACCTCAGCCGATGGAAGATGAAAGAACTAATCCAGAAGGAGTTTGCAGATGTCATAGCTGTGAGTGCTGCTGCAAGGGGGAGGGCTTGAGGCCAAGACTGGAGCGCACGGGCTGCAGAATCTCCTTCTGGAGAGAGGCTGATTCTTACAACAGTGGGATGGGGAGGCTTTCAACAAAGGGGAGCAGCAGTTGCGTTCCTTTGCGCTGACTGCTTTGGCAGCTCTTCCAACCCACTTTGCCATGAGCAAATGGGGAAAAAGCTGGAGAACGAACCATGGGGAGGTATGGTTTTCTTTCAAAGGTAGGAAGGAAATGCATCTGGTAGAGGGATTCAGCTTACCCCAAAGTGAAGAGAGCTGGTTAGCTGCATCCAGGGAACAACCAGGAAAATGGAGAACAAAGGCATGGGGCTGTTGCTGAGCTATAAAAGTGAAGGTGTGAAGGATGGAAGAAGAAAAGATTGCAATTACTCCTATCTTTGCATTTCCCTGACAAAGAGCAAGAAGGCTAAAATCCCCCCTTTTTTTTTCTCCCTGTGTGTGTTTTCCCTGCAGAAGCCTCGTGACCCTCAGATGATTGACAAGATTCTGCAGTTTCTGGAGTGGGATGGTGACGGGAAAATAGATTTTAATGAGTTCCTGCTTTTGGTGTTCAAAGTGGCTAAGGCCTGCTACTGGTACCTGCCAAAGGGACCATGGCTTCTGCAAAGAACAAAGCTGACAACCAGTGGCAAGTCACTCCAAGAGCCTGAAACTAAGAACAGAGGGAACCATCGGCAGCTCCAGGAGGAGGAACGACAAAATTATGAGAGTTATCATCATCCCGCCTGTGAACATGAGCTGCAACGAGAAACCAGGGTCAATGAGCTTGGAACAACAGACGAAACAGGGAGTCACCACCAGCAACGTAACACACCAAGCAGAAATTATGCAAAACGAAGAGGAGGGCCGGGGGACCCAGACCCTCAGGTATACGAAGAACGAAGCCAAGAGCCATGTGACCACCGGAACAGCCAGAGAAGACGTCAGCCACCGGAGCCAGACAGACAAAGAGATGTACAGCTCTGCAAGCATGGCAGCTTGCTAGCGCATGAACCCAGAGTGCAGGAAGATGAGAGGCAAAATGAAGACAGGACGCAGCCAGAACAAATGGCAGATGTGAGGAGTCTCAGCCAGACCAGTGAATCTCAACCACTGCCAAACCGGTGTAGTAGCCATCACCAACATGAGACAGCACTACCAGCATATGATCAAAAAAACCAGTGGCCACAAAAAGCAGATAGAGGAAGTCACAATCAGCTACGTAAACCTGAATTACTCACAGAAGAGAGAAACCGCTACAACCTACGTGAGCTGAAACAAAACTCACTTGAACACAGCAGCCACCAGCCACGTGAACCTGAATGTCTAGACTCAAGACGCCCACATCAGTCATATATAATGGAACAGCTAGAAGTTGACCTCCGGTACTATGAGACCTGTGAGCCAAAAAGAAATATCTCTGAAAGAGGGAAAAACAATAAACATGACCTTCACTATCCAGAAAAGGATACAGACATCAATGAGGATAAGAAGTGTGAAGAACAAGATGAAGAAAGGAGAAAAGAGCCCATGCACGAGAGGAGGGTCGATCGCCAACGGGAGCTGGAGCTGGAGGTCTATGAGCGCCGCAGCCGCCAGGCACGCGAAAGGGAAGAGCGAGCTGCCACCACCGACCAGAGAGAGAGACGCGAGAGACGTGACTGTCAGGAAGGCGAGCCCGAAGATGACGGCAGGAGACACCGTGAGTCGGTGAGATACGAAAGGACACGCGAGACCGCCGTAGCGGCAGGAGAAACCGACGTGAAAAGCCAACGTGGGGCAATTT